CCTGAGTCACCTGCAGTCTGTGCTACCAGTTCCCTCTCACTGTCTGGGGGTTGAGCAGCCAGAACAGTCTCACCTAGAACAAAACTTGTCCCTGGAATTTCCCTGACTGTCCTATTTCACTCCATATGTGCACATCCTGACTCTGGAATGACGAATCCTGATGGCACTGGATTAAGATAAACACCCATTAGGCAGTCTTGTTGCAGATGTGTATTCACAGATGGAATTATCAAGAATAACCCAGGGTCCAGACAAGTTAAATATTATATTTAAATGCTGCTGGATGCTGAATTATTTTTGTCATCTTCTCCTTCCTCAAGCCCCCCCAGAGGAACCCCAAACCAACCTGAGTCATCCTGCTGCCAAATCCAAAATAAGGACTTCTTCGTACACCACTGCACTAAAAACTAGTTCAGGCCCAGAAACCTTGCCCAACTTTATATATTCCAAAAGAGTAAACATTGGAAAATTTCTCCAGATTTGTCCAATGCCAGAAAACACAGTGTGATTCTGTTCTTTGAACCCTCGGAGATTATTTCATCTTCTTAGTTTCCCTCAGTAATTATTCTCCTTTTACCTTTAAGTTTACTGCCAACATAAATGTCACATACTGACAGTATGGGAGTGACAGAACAGCATTTCTTCTGACTTCTTTATATTGGATTATGAACCAGTTAAATAATTTAATCCTAAGTAAATGGTAAGGTATGTCTGTTACATCCAGGGAACATTGCTGATCTCAGGAGTGCAATGACTGTGTGCAGTGTCCTTAGCCCCATCTTCTCTTGGGATTTTCTCAGCAGCAATGCTGAGAAATCAAAATAGGACATTTAGTATGATTTGTAGCCTTAAAATTCAATTATCACCCTGCCTAGCTGGTACCTGACAGAGCACTATGATCTCAGAATTCTCTCTCATAGCCACAAGAGTTTCCCACATATTAATAAAAACTATTTCAATGTGTAGTCACCATCAGAGCCAGAGAAACTCTGACTGAAGGGTATCAGCTCTTCCCACCCGAGAGCTGTAGCTTCAGGTTTCAGACACAGGCACATGCACTCACCTGATTCTGAGCAGGTTTTCAAAGTGCCTTTTTTATTCAAAGCCTTACATTTCCTGCACCGTAGCTCTGTTTCATTTACAGAGCTCAGGCCTTCCAAGGTCCAGCAGCAAAACCAGGGCAGCCCTCCCAGCAGGTTCTGTCCCTGGGTTATGGCACAGTCTGTCTGTAAAACACTGCTCTAAACAAGCTCTGAGGGCTCAGCCAGGGCTCAGGAGGGGACATGTCCCTCTGCTGCCACTGATCCCGCAGCTCTGAGTGCTCTGGCTGGGCCTCTTTACAAAAGCACCACAAGAGCTGGTTAGAGGGTCCCTTCAGCCGCCCCAGAAAGACCTTACTTATTTTTATAACATTAAATCTTGTTGTTGTCAGACACTGACAAATTTTTCAGGGTACTGAAATTTTAGATATCGTATCTGTCACTGATCTAAACTACACTTGTTTAGTCTTTGCCTAGAATAAGTACAGCACATTAAAAACCACCCCAAACCCACTGCTTTACTTGCACAGACAAATAACTGAGAGCAGCAGCTAATGACTCTGTATTTCTGACTGTGCACAGAAATAACCCTGCCTGGTGTGGGCACTTGTACTGAACGAGCAGGGTTACTCACTGCAGTAAAAGCTGGTTATACATGTAAATATTTTATGGTGAACTGCTTAGTAACCAGATCTATGCTTTTCAGCTCATTTTTAGTTTGGCATTTTTAAGATAGCATCAAATCATCCTGAAATAGTTTTTGAAATACGTTTGATCATTTTTAAAATCAAAGTCATATAACCAGCTCTAATGATTATATTTTGCCCAGACCCTGCTGCATTGTCATGCCTTCATGTTGCACAGCCAGAGCTTTTTTCAGGACAATATTAATTTATTTCTGAGAATCTAAAGCACAGTACCATTCATGAAGCACCACAGCCCAATATAATGTGTGCTCCATAAGTCAAACATTTTGTGCTGAATACTCTCGTGATTTATTTAACTTCAATGTCTAAACCCTCAGCCAGGGATTTGCAACTTTTCCAACCTGCAGATCCCTCAGTGGTCTGTAGCCATGCACACGAAACTCATTTTTAAGAAAACTAGACTTGGTTTTTTTAGTTACTTCCCACAGACTCCTTGCACTGCAGAGTAATTACCTAGAGCTGGCTGGTAACAAGAGATTAAATTAATATATATAGTAGAGCACTTGAGACTTGAGAAATAATATTCCATACTTAAACTCAACAGCATAAAGATCATTTATTACTTTGAACATGGCACATTCCCTTCTTCAGAAATATCAGCAATTAATAGCATAGTGTAGAATAAAAAAATAGAGTGTCATTTTATTCTGTCACTGAAAAAACAACCTACACCACAATCCAGCAGTGAGTTGGGATTAAATAGATTGGAATTTAAACCAACCTTACAGTCTGATCTTTATGAAATTGGCTACTGGCATGTTGGGAGAAAAGGCGATATAGGTAATTCAGATGGGGGCTTGCTACAGACGTGAATAAGGTGAGCAAACCCACATTGTACCCAAAACCTGAGCACAGCAGAAAAGAAAATACAACATTTCTGCAGTGATACTGTGGCCTTTCAGCAACTGCTACAGCTGGGTTTAAAGAGAACCTTGCCAGCCCTGGCTGGCTCACACCAAGGTGTGTGATGGGGCAGGTGTGCTTCCAGAGTGCATCAGGGAGAGGGAATCAGATGGAGGGTGAAAGGAACAACAGGGAGAGCTGCTGGGGAAACGGTTTAAAAGTTTCCAAGTGAGCTCAGTTATTTAGTTTCCAGAGCCAACACCTATGGATGGGCTGAGCAGTCACTGAGAGACAACTCACTCATTAAACAGGAGGTTCCAAGTACTCAGAGAGGTCTTTTTGAGTTTTTCCAAGAACTGCAGTACTGCTCTGGGAAACAGAGGGCCCCCAGGCCCATCACAAGGTAGGGGTTATGGGGCAGCAGGCAGAGTTTAGAACAGAGAGAGGACCAAAGCCCAGCCCTTGGGATGCCATGGGAGGTAAAACCAACCCCAGGCACAGCAGCTGTTCCAGCTCAGGAGCAGCCCACGGGATCTGTAGGGGAGTGAGAAGACTGTGCACCCGGGAGACACCAGGTGTGGGCCTGGCAGAGCAGCATCCCACCCAGCCAGGGCACTCACTGCCAGGAACGGGGCAGGACTGCACCCACCCACCAAACACGGAGAGCGGCGCGCTTGGGAAAAGAGATGTTTTTAAGCAAGTTGTTTAAACTGTTGCCCACCCCACAGCAGGGCTGCTGGAACACAAGGTCTGTGTTCCTCAGGAGAGGTTTATTTGCAAAGACTTACACATCAAGAGCAGAGGGGTTCAATTTGAGCTCCAGGGGATCATCAGGGGTGCGCCACTCGCCAGGTGACCATGGGGACAAATCCCCACCCTGTGGGCTGCAAAAATAATTTCAGAATTTAGCCTCTGAAAGCTGTTCAGGAGTAAGAGAACATTACTTGCAAAGCCTATTTCAAAACCTTCAGTCTTTGCTCCAAGTGCTGTGTTTAAACTAGGTTTTGAAAAAAGAAGGTGTGGCAGAAAGGACCTACAAACCACAACTGCTTGTATTAATACTGAGAATAGTAAAGAACTGAGTGAGATGTAACACCAAAGGCTGGAGGGTGCCAAAACACTAATGACACTTTCTTGAAAGGAATCTGACATGGAAATTCTAAGGGACGACTTCTAGAAGCAGTGGCCAGCGGCCAGCCCCTGTGACTCAGCCCTGCCAGGCCACGCCGCTGGTCACCAAGTGCCAACAGATCGGCAGCTGGCAACGGCCACGTCCTCAGCCCGAGCCACGCGGCGGTCCCGGCTCGGGGCGGGGAACAGGGAAGCGGGGGAGCGCTGGCAGGGGCTCCTCGGGATCACCCCGGGCTCCGAGCCCGCGGGCAGCCCGCGCTCCCCAGGGACCCTTCCCGCCGGCGGGGCCAACTCCAGCCTCTGGAGCCACCCGAGCAGGGAGAGGGGCCGGGGGGCTGCGGGGGGACCCGACCCCGGCAGCGGCTCCCCCGGAGCTGCGGGCACAGCCCCGGTGATGGGCCGGGGCACCCGGGGCAGGGAGGGCCGCGCCTGCCGGTCCCATTCCGCGCTGGGCGCGGGACCCCGGAGGGCCGGGAGAGGCTCCACCCGAGCCGGGGGAGCCCAACCCGCTCCGGAGGGACCGCGGGCAGGGACGGCGAACGGCCCAACCCGCTCCGGAGGGACCGGGGGCAGGGACGGCGAACGGCCCAACCCGCTCCGGAGGGACCGCGGGCAGGGACGGCGAACGGCCCAACCCGCTCCGGAGGGACCGCGGGCAGGGACGGCGAACGGCCCAACCCGCTCCGGAGGGACCGCGGGCAGGGACGGCGAACGGCCCAACCCGCTCCGGAGGGACCGCGGGCAGGGACGGCGAACGGCCCAACCCGCTCCGGAGGGACCGCGGGCAGGGACGGCGAACGGCCCAACCCGCTCCGGAGGGACCGCAGGCAGAGCAACCCAACCCACTCCCGCCGGGTCCCGCTGAGGGCGGGGGGGGATCACACGCGCGGGGCGGGGCGTGCGCGGCTGCGCCCGCCGGCGAGCAGCCAATGGGAGCGGGCGGAGCCGCGCCGCAGCCAATGGGCGGGGGCGGACCGCGCGCCTCAGCCAATGGGCGGGGGCGGGCCGCGCGCCTCAGCCAATGGGGCCGGGCCGGGCCGCCATGGGCCGCGGCAGCGCCGTCCCGCCGGGGCCGGGGCCGGTGGCGGTAGCGCTGCGTCCTCCTTCTCCTCCTCCCGTTCCTCCTCCCGTTCCTCCTCCTCCTCCCCGGCACTGCCCGGGGCCGGGGCTGTCCCGGCGCGGCTCCGCGGGGCGCGGCCGCCGCCCGCCCGCCCCGGCGCGGGGCCGCCCCCCGTCCCCTCCCCGCGCCCGCCCCGTCCCCGCCCGCCGCGGCGGCTCCGAGCGGGAGGCGGCGGAGGGAGGCGGGAGCCATGCGGGAGTACAAGGTGGTGGTGCTGGGCTCGGGCGGCGTGGGCAAGTCCGCCCTCACCGTGCAGTTCGTGACCGGCTCGTTCATCGAGAAGTATGACCCCACCATCGAGGACTTCTACCGCAAGGAGATCGAGGTGGACTCGTCCCCGTCCGTGCTGGAGATCCTGGACACGGCGGGCACCGAGCAGTTCGCCTCCATGCGGGACCTCTACATCAAGAACGGGCAGGGCTTCATCCTGGTGTACAGCCTGGTGAACCAGCAGAGCTTCCAGGACATCAAGCCCATGCGGGACCAGATCATCCGCGTCAAGAGGTACGAGCGGGTGCCCATGATCCTGGTGGGCAACAAGGTGGACCTGGAGGGCGAGCGCGAGGTCTCCTTCGGGGAGGGCAAAGCGCTGGCCGAGGAGTGGAGCTGCCCCTTCATGGAGACCTCGGCCAAAAACAAAGCCTCGGTGGACGAGCTCTTCGCCGAGATCGTCAGGCAGATGAACTACGCGGCGCAGCCCAACGGGGACGAGCCGTGCTGCGCCTCCTGCGCCATCCTCTGAGGGCGGCGGCGGCCCCGGCCCCGCAGGAACAAAAGCATCGGCAACAAATTCATCGTCTTGGAAATGTGGCTTTTCTCGGCATGTACGTTTCGTCCAGTCTTGGTCGTGGCATATTTCCTGTCAGTGTCGGCGGCGGGCGCGGGAGGAGCCGGTCCCGCCGCCCGGGGAGCAGAGCCACGCGGGGAACCCGCCCCGGGACACCCCCGGGGAGCGGTGCCGGCATCCCGGGACACCCCCGGGGAGCGGTGCCGGCATCCCGGGACACCCCCGGGGAGCGGTGCCGGCA